TAAATGAAAACGTTACTCATTGGTTATGATCCAAATGTTACTCATTGGTCATAATTAACCAGTTTTTCTTGCTTTGTAACATACTCATTGTTTATGATCCAAATAAATGGTCAGCTTCTGCAACAATACCATTTGAAAAACAACTAAAATTGAACGCAATTCGCAAAACAAAAATCACAACAATTGGAAATTATTTCAGAAGTTATGCGGAATCGATGAAAAACTTATCATTTAATTGATCAGTGATCAAAGTACTTCACAGGAACAAGTAGAAGCTCACTTTTTCTGCTCACAGTAAGTCCAGGAGCTTCTTCCATATCGATATCTTCGAGGGCCATGCCTTCTGGTAGTTTCCAGTCAAAATGATACAACATATTCGCCAGACCAAACTCCACCATTGTTGTCCCCATGTACATTCCAGGGCAGATTCTACCACTCCCGAATGATAACAGTTTAAAGTTTTGTCCTTTTGCCTCAATATTGTTAGCCATAAACCTCTCTGGGAGAAACATCTCTGGATCTTTCCAAGTATCCGGATCACGCCCAATAGCCCAAACATTCACATGAAGCCGTGTCTTGACTGGAATCGTGTAGCCATTGATCTCAAATTCAGACATTACTTCTCTTGGAAGTAGAAGAGGTGTTGGAGGATGAAGCTTCCATGTTTCTTTGATCACCATTTTTAGGTAAAGAAAGCTCATGCCTTAATGTATACAACTTTGAGCAATGCTCACTTCAATAATGAAGGCGACATGACAATTTGACAAAATAAAAAACAAAAAATTTGATGACGACAAAAGAGAGCCTCTGTGCTTTCCTTTAGGACAAAATTTTCCTCGTTATTAATTTTTTTTACGGTTGAAGTAGGTTCGAGAAATTTGAGCCTCTGTTCTTTTCCTGAGTCCAAATTATAGAAGAATTTCTCGAAATAAATAACGAAACAAATTGACAGTAAATTTGACGTTGGTCATCATCCTCCATCCAAACTTGGACGTTACCACTACACACGAAGTGTTAGCTAAATGGTTGTTGATTTTGCCATAATTAACGTTATCAC